GTGGCGTCTTTATGGTTGAATGTGTTTAAGTGCTTATACATATACATATGTACATATGTAGCTAGATATGTATCAAGATATTTGTATGCATATGTGTTTCATATGGAAATACAACGTTAAGCTGCACTTCAAACTCTTCTTCAGCCCAATTAGTTGTTAGCGTTTAAACAAAACATATCAATAGCGGTAAGCCAATGTTATTTTTTTTGTAGATGTGTATGCACATTAGGGTGCCTCACGAAAAAAATATGTCTCTGCTTCTCAGTGTAAGTATTCAAATTAGTTGGCGTTGGTTGATTTTTGATTTAAATTAGATATTTTTATGGCTTCCACCAAAATATTTTGCCTCAATTCGGTGCGATAGTGAGCTGGAGGGCGTTGAAAATATCTACATGATATGTTTAAAATGACGGCAGTTTTAATGAAGTTTTCGGCAATTTTTCAATGCAGTTTTCTTATAAACTCGAATAACTCAATCACATCTTATTAAAATTTCAAATTCAATATATCATGGATAGATAGTTTTTTTCCGCCATAAATCTCGACTTCCTGTAAAACATTTTAGCTTAAAACGTGGCCATTCGTGATTTGAACGGTGTTGGAAGCATTTCTGATAAATATTTTCTAGAGAAAAAACCATGAAAATGCCATATTTTTTCAATTTGGATACGTATAATAGAAATATGGATTTTGCTTATAAGCAAAATCGGTCCTCAAAGGTTAGGCAGGACCAAGACAGTATAGCAATCTTATCAATCGCTGCAATCTGCTAATCACCGTCAATCGATTGACTCCGGCGATTGATTAAAATGATGGACTGTCTAGGGTCTGCTTAATAGATTTTTTATGTAAAGTTGAATAATTCAGTTATTGCTTAACCGATTTTCACCAAAAAGATGTTTTCGCACCCAATTTACATCGGTGAAAAACTGACCCACATACATACATTCCACGATTTTTGAATAAAAAAATTGGTATGAAATTTATAAGGTCTGATGGGGTTAATTTTTGAAAAGATTAAAAAAGAGCGAGAAGATACCTTCTGATTTACAGCTTGAAGAAAAAAATTGGATAAGAAAGGAAAATTTAGAATTTAATTAACTTAGCAAAATCTTGAAAAAATTTAATGCAAAACATTTACATTTAGATTTTATTATTTTCTCAGCATATTTTATGGGAAGAAAGTTCTGTAATATTTATTTTTTGTTATACAAATCACGTTTTCTAGCCAGCTTACGATTGGCTTTGAATCCAATCAAATTATTTGGTTGCAGATATAAATTTGATCGCATTTTACATAATTTGCGTGGGGAAGGAGAACCGATTTTTCTTTGTATGGAGCTTGGGGCAGTCTAATGTATCTATACATACATACATATAGTCACTTACGAAAGTATTCGTAATTTATGGCATTTTCGTTTCTACAAAAAATGTTGCCTTTTCATTGTCCCCTTTCTTAGTATTTCTGGGTAGAGGGCAAAGGGAAGGTAACCTTTTTTTGGTAGACCCGAAAACGCCATTAGTTTTTTCACAATATTAATACTGTTTTGCGTCATAAATCAATATGTATCATTCTATAACAAAACCTGTATAAATGGATATTGCAAACTTTGTAAAAAATTCACAAAAATTAATCAAAGTGCGAAAAATTGTCATCGAAATTTCAAATTTTTAATCAGAATTTTTAGAAAACTTTCCGGAATGCAGTTTTCTAGCCCGTTCAATGTCAATTATGTAAAGTGCAAGTTTCAAGTAGCTACCGGAAAATTTTCTAAAAATTCTGGTTAAAAAGTTAAAAGTTTTGATGAAAATTTTTTGAAGTTTGATTAATTTTTGTGAATTTTGTACAAGTTTGCAAGATTGATTTATACAGTTTTTGTTATCGAAAAAGCTATATTAAAAAAAAAATAACAAAAAATAATTTGTATAATGGAAAACATTTTTTGAAAAAACCTAACTTACGAATAACTTCTGTGAGTGACTGTATGTATGTATGTATCTTTGCATGCCTGAAAACGCACCTCGAACGGAAAAAAACAACTGCAAGAAATCTTCAAAATTTTTATTTTTATTGAGAACTTCCGCAGCCGCAGCGATGTCAACAGCAACAACAATAATACGAAACAGAAAGACAACAACAAATGAGTTGATATTTGCGCCACTGTGATTGTTTGGCAACATTTGTTGCTCAACATTTCCGAGTGATTAGCAGCGTTTATGATCCAATTGCTCATTTCAATGTATGTATATATTTGTCAGAGTTCTTACACATATTTCTAGAATCTACAAACATACATATGTGCTATATACTAATTATGTCATGTATTTTTATGTCTTGGCATTGAAATTCAATTCTGCTCACTTTTCGCTGTTGTTCTTCAACATTTTTCTGCTGCTGCTAAGCAAGTGGCAAAATTGGTGCTTTTCGTAACATTAATTGATTGTTATTGTTGGCATTCGCCGCTTTTTTAAATGATTATTTTTTCATTGTATGCCTTAATATAAGTAATATTTTTTGTGTAGTCAGCACGCAGTGTTGTTTTCCAAAGTTGTAGCAAAATACAAAAAAGACCTATGTTGAAGTACATAACCACATAGATACATACATATGTAGATACATGGGTACATACTTATATATATGCTTATGGCTATGCATACTCTATGTTTACTACATATGTTCATATGTATGTGTGATTGTACGAATATTTATGCTGTCATCTGTAGGCGCTCTTATAGCCAATTTTTCTGTGCCTTTGTTCTAGTTATAGATTGGTTTCTTGATCTCGTTTTTTGCTTGACTACTTGATTGTTGGTCTTCAAATTCTCCATCTACATACATCCATACTCGCACATATGTACATATAAGGTAGGTATTTGCCCGCCTCTGATCGTGTTTCTGTCAGTCGGTGTTACGTCAGCAATATTTTTTATTGCCGCTGAGTGTGGGTATATACATATATTGCGCCAGTTGCAGAAAACAGCAATGAGAGGTCGACTAGATAAACTGGAAATTGAAATAAAAACTAATTTTTTTTTTTCGTTTTTTCGCGATCTTATTGTGTTTTGGATTTTATTTCTTGCCTGCTGCTTGATTTAAAGTGTTTTTTTTTAACGTTTGCTGTATTGTTTGTTTATGTGGCTTTTGAGTTGAAGTCATTATTCGTCAAGGTTGAAATCGCGACAGTTTAGCGCCGCTGTAAACTTATGTATGTATGTATGTACTTATTTTATTTGTGTGTATGTACGAACATGTTTGTTTGTTTTTTTGGGTGTGTATAGGTTTTAGGACTTTAAACTCTGAATTGGCAATAAAAATTTAACTAGGCGCCATAAAAAAGTATCTTATGGCAGAACGTTAGGTTTTGAATATAAAGCGCATTTACTTTAGGGTGGCAACATTTCTGTCGCAATAACTATCAAATCTAGATTTATCATTTTAAAGCCCCCCTCAACTAATTAAAAAAAAAAAAAAACACGCAATGATTAATATTTTAAGGTACTTCCGTGTGATCTATGTGATGTGATTCTATGATGAATTAAACTCAATCTAAACTATAAAATATTATAAATGTAGGAAAAACTATTTTTTAGTCCATTAAAATATGTAAACGGAATAAAAAATTAGTTATATAGATTAAACAAATTGTGACCATAAAATTACTAAATAATCAAAATATACCAGTACTCAACTAGTAATTTTTAGCAAAAAAAAACCGACTTCAACTCCCATATAAAAAAAAAATATATATATATACATATATCTCATCATCCACTGATCGGATCTCAACCAGATTAGTATGGGACCACCTCTGAGAATTATTGAAATCGGTTGACGTGGTCCACAGTTATGCGGTAACATACATAAAAAAAAAAAAAAANTCATCCACTGATCGGATCTCAACCAGATTAGTATGGGACCACCTCTGAGAATTATTGAAATCGGTTGACGTGGTCCACAGTTATGCGGTAACATACATAAAAAAAAAAAAAAAATATTCCGACGAACTGATAACCTCCTCCTTTTTTGGAAGTCGGTTAAAAATATGCAAAGATGAAAAAAATATATCTGCTTGTAAAATTTGCTTTGGTGTTCTGCAAATCAAACTTGCCAAAGGCTGACGGAAATTCGTTCCAAAACCTATCATCTGCTGTAGAATCAATCAACACCGACGAAAATTGTAGGCATTTAAAAAACACCGTGCGACAAAAGTTAAAAAAATTTCAAAACACACGAAAAAATCAATATTAGGTTTATTCTCTGAATCAAGAATTTTTTTTACAAAAGACTTTGAAATTTCAAAGATATGTGTAATTAAAAAAAAAATTAAAAATGCAGTGCAAAGTAGAATAACAATATTGGTACCAATTGAAAGTAGAATTTCAGAAAAATTATTTTTTATTTTTATTTCACAAGGACGAATACCTTTATTAATTTTCATTTTTGTTTAAATACTATTGTTAGTACACATTAGTTTTTAACGTAAAATATATATTGCAAATTTTCAAGGATATTCAAGGATACAATTTTTAAGGATATTTTCAATACTTATTCGTCCGTGTGCATTTTCTCTTTTATTTGATACCCATATTGTTATTTTGTATTGCACTGAATTTTTTAGATAATTTTGTGAAATAATCATAGCTTTGAAATTTCAAAGTCTTTGAAAAATATCCGAACGCCAGATAGAAAAACCAAAACCGCAGTTTTACTATATTTGGCCCCAATTTTCGCGAGTATATTGATTTTTAGGGTGTAAAATTGGCTGTCGCACGGTGGAGTCTAAAATTTTTGTTGGCGTTTTGAATTGTGATAAAAACGTGATAAAATATTAAAAACAAAACTTCAATCGTGGCATTGAAAATGGCCAAAAAAAGTTTGAAACAGTATGAATATCGGAGAAAATTGTTCAATAATCTCAAAGTGTATACACAAAAAATAATAAAAAAAAAAATTAAAAAATATCATCCCTTACCAATTTTCTCTTTTAATCTGATCACAGTGCAGCTTTCCTAATGACATTATGCTGATAAATGCATGAAAAATCGACGCTAATGACACCATATCTAATTATCTGAAATTTCCCCTTGAAAAAATACACTACTTAAAGTGTTAAGAGTGTTAAAAGAAAAACCAAAAATCGAATAAAAAAAAACAAAAAAAAAATCTTCAACTGCCAACAAAATGCAACTAAGCACAACGAAGCGGCAAAGAGAGCGGCACTTGCCGCCCAAAACAAACAGCAGCATCGCCACCAGCACCAGCACCACCCACGCATGCAGCGAAAGCAGCAGCAGCAACAACAGCAACAACAACAACACCAGCAGTACAACACATTATACTCGACTGCCGTTACTGCTACTGCTGCTGCTCCTAATGACAACCAGCAGCCATGGCTATAACATTGATCTGCCCAGCTATACAAGGCACGTGCGTGAACCGAATACAATGTTCGGTTTCAGCATCGCGTTGCATAAGGGACGCAGCGGATATGCACAATCGAATTCGTAAGTATCACCAAATGAAGTGTGGAAGTGTGCCAATGAAAAAAAAAATACAAAAATACAAAAGAAAATTATGTTGAAAAAACCAGATATTTATGCATGTATTTTAGGCATATTTTTTATTAGTTTATTTTTAACAGCTTGTGCAGGCAATGCATTTTTATTGCCCTAAGTTATTATATATTTAAAGCTAAGCACACAATATTCACAGGCTGTGGAATGATAACCTTTCGACTGTATCACTTCACAGTCGGCTCGGGGATGAGAAGAAATAATCACAGGCTCTGCTATCACTACACATCCATAAATACAAGAACATTCCCACTCTATGTGATGCATGCACATTAGGGCGGGTCGAAAGAATGCAAAATGTTTGATACGAAAAATGCATAGGTCTTAAAATGTGCTATTTGAATACCTTATTCTAGAAAATAAATCCCGGTTCTCTGCGATGATATCTTCAGTCAGCGGAATGAGCTTGAAAAATTGAAAATTAGAGTGGGAATACCAATTTTTTTTTAATTTTACCAACAACTTGTGTATATCAAATCCGGCACTTATTTCTTTTCATAAAGTCACAAAAAAATATGTAAATTGGGCAAATTAAACGAAAGTAACATCAATATTTTAATCAATAAATAAATGAAGTAGGAAAGAAAGATTAATTGACTGAAATATTGATGTTAGTTACTTTTAATTGGCCCAATTTACATATTTTTTTTACTTTATGATAGGAAATAAGTTCCGGATTTGATCTACACAAGTCATTGTAAAAATTTGAAAAATTAATATTCCACTCTAATTTTAAATTTTTCATGCTCAGTCCGCATACTGAAGATATCGTCGCAGAATACTAGGATTTATTTTCTAAAATAAGGTATTCAAATAGCACCTTTTACGAACTATACAATTTTCGTATCAAACATTTTGTGCATTTTCGACCCGCCCTAATGTGCATACATATGTGCTTATTCTAGTCTACGTCCGATAAGCCAAGCTTGATGTTGATGATGATGTTTTCACTGCTAGCCAGTCAAGCTGATACCAATGCAATTTGAGATTAGGCAACACATACAAACAGCAATAGAAGAGATAATGAATGTGTATGCCTTTTAAATTAACTATTTTAAATGCCTTCAAAGCGCATCTGAGCATGTGTGCGTATTTGCTGCATTTCAACTCCATCTGCCTTGATTATTTTGTAGTGTTGAAGAAAAGAAAAATTGAAATGAAAAATTGAAAGCCAGAATCTGATATGTATGCATTTCTATGTGTAGTCGTAGTCGCTTCTCAAGCAAATTGGTTTAAATTTGCGATTTATTGCAATTTTATGAGCCATGCCAGCACATACACACATACATATGTACATGTAGAATGTAAATCGTTTGAGAAGCGCCAATATTCATTTATGTTTTTATGTTGGCATTCTTTTTTAATTTCAAAACAACACTTGGCATTCATGCAACTCATACATGTGTATGTACATACATATACATACATATGTACGTGCATTTAGTTTTGATGGGAAAATTTACGATTTGGGACAGCAACGCCTTTCCGCAGATCTATGTATGACCTTCGTTCTTATTTCGTTGCCCATAGCTTCTAATAGCTTCTAGCAGACCTCACGCGTGTGTATTCGAATCAATTCAGCGGCACTGATTTATGCCTATTGAAATTGAAGATTGCTAATGAATGAATGCTTTAATTGAGGTATAGGAAACTAGTCTCAATGAGTTAGAATAAAAAAAAATGACGACGACTATTTGAGATCGAGCTTAATTCAAGAGAATGATTTAAATTTTGTCTATTTTTAAGGTACATTTTAAAGTTTAAAATAATCTCAGAAAAAAAATAAAAACTTTGCTGAGGCTTAAAGCACTTTGTGTTACAAGTGCCAGCGATATAACCAAGAAGGCTCCATATATTTACTAATGGACCTTAGCCAAAAAAGTGTGGTCAAATACCTGCTTAAAAATTGAAGCCTGGTTTCTAGAGTGATGCGAAGTTCAAGTTCTCATTCATAGACTAATTTTTGTTTAAAATGTTTAAAAACTCCTGTTGCCATGTTGCCATTCACACCTTCCTGGTTATTAGATCATCTGGTTATATGACTAATCTTTTCTGAAATAACCAGATAACTCCATAACCAAAAAACAAAACGGAATTTCGCCTTGGAAACAAGGGAAACCTTAACCCCCTGCATTAGGGTCGTCCTTAAAATATCAACATTATGGGGCACCCCTTTATTTCGTTCTACATATAAAGTAAAGACATCCATGAAAATTTCAAAATTTTAGACAGACTTTTACATGTCCCTATAAAGTTTGAAAAAATTTAATTTTTTTAAATCGCGAAAATTCGGTACAAAATTTTGACTTTGACCAGCTGTAACTCAGCGAGTAGTTGAAATCAGGGACGGGAACCGGTTTTGAACCGAACCGGTTTTGAACCGGAAAACCGCTTTTTTCTATTAATTAACAGAACCATTAACCGAACCGAAATTTTCCACAAATGTTTGATCCGAACCGAAAACCGAACCACTTTCCATAAAGGTTTAAAGGTTCGTTTCAACCCATTTTCAATAGATAAATGTACCCACTATTTTTTATTTTTGTTAAACATGGTAATACCTACCATGTTTTTTTACCATGTGAGAATATCAATGGGTTGCCTACCCATCTCATTTGACAGACCGCTTAACCTTGCGCGTTGCAGCACTTGACACTTAAACTTGCGCGTTATTTTTTTTTTGTTTTTCGAACCGTTGAACCGAACCGAAACCCCGGTTCAAAGACCAAAAAAAACGCTTTGACGAACCAATCCAAAAGTGCAAAAACGGTTCGAACCGCTGAACCGAACCGACCAAATTTTTCATCCGGTTCACGTCCCTGGTTGAAATTATATGAATAGGTTTCAGTGATGTGTCAAACTTATACGATTTTTTTGCGAATTTTCGCGAATTAAAAAAAAATAATAATTTCTTGGTGGATGTCGACTCAATCGATTCCAACTCCAGATAAATCACTATCCATTCCGCTCTATTGATATTGGAAATTTGAAAGTGTTAATTTATTGGTCGTTTCTAAAAAAAAATGTGAAAATCTAGTATGCACATTCGAAACAAACTTCTCTCGATTGAAAAGCTAATACAGTTTTCCCGCCGCAGAATGCACATATATAATTCTCCGAAAAATATGCTCAGAATTTTTGGTATAAAAATATTTTTGTTTACATTTCTTGTAAGTAGGTAAATTACAGACCGCTCAATAAACCAATGCAAGCGTAAATTATACGAATATGTAAGAATAATACTGAAAATATCACTAAAAAATGCATATAAAAAGCTTTTAACTGCATATTTTCCCTTTGGGAAAAGTAAATAAAATGCGGTGATTTTTACTTTTTTTTTTGTTTCTGTGCTCTGCCCGGTGAGTGTATTTCGCCCACTAAATAAAAGCAATTTCCATTTTGCTTATAGCAACAGTATATAAAGTAAACAGAGAGTGAAAACAAAGGCTGGAAAAAAACATATGTACATATATTTTTTCATTAGCGCATTAGGGCCAAAGAAGCGTAGGTAAAACTAAATTGTTTACAATAAAGCTGGAAAGCTGCCGGCGCAAATGCATATTGGATGAAAATGTGTAAGCGAGGGCTAATTGTAGATGCCGTCGCATATTCAGCTAGCTAAATATGTACATACATACATACACATAAAATAAATGCATTGCTATTTCAGGCTTCAAGCGTCGAGTGTCAGTGGGGGAAATGCAGTTGGGTATTGAGTCAAGTGAACAAAAAAAAAAAAACAAAAAAATCTGAGCAAAAAGGTGCACGAATCACATGATTGTCTAATAGAAATATCTATGCGATTACGAAGCGGTAATATTCACACAATCTACTGCATTCGGCGAAATTTATCAGTTGCTGAGTAGCCGTGAAGAGATAGCAGTAAATAAGTACCTAACTTATCAGCTTGCGAGAAATTGAAGAAGAAGCGAGGAAGATTATGTAAAACAAGCAACCAACCGCCTGCTCCACGCAGTTCTAAGTAAAAAAAAAATCTCCTCTTCAACTCGCTTAAATGATTTTAATTGTTCTGTTGAAGTGCTATCTTTTTGTGCGGCATTCCGTGCTTGACGCATTCTAATTTTATTTGACAATGAACGCACGTCCCGACCGCACACAAAGGCTCTTCCTCCACAAGCGTTCTTTGGCTAAGCAGATGCTGTGTGAGATATGATATGCATGTACATACACATGTACATTAGGGTGGCAGCAAACGCACTTGGTGAAGAAATGAAAATTTAAGGACAAGTTTTTATGGACATAGATCAGTTATATATCTCGCGGCCAAAGCTTTTTTTAAGCTTTAGATTTCTTATGAACGCGCACATAGCTAAAGTTCTTTTTGACTGTCGCTGATGTATGCCAGTCCATATAAAATCTACAGAAAGCTTTTAAGAGATTCGCCCGCAGGCGATGTTTTGAGCATCACTGAACTAAAGCGGTAATGGGCTCTGCCTTGCCCGTTGGCAAAGCTCTTTTAACCTTTCTATACATTTTGTATAGGCGCGTGCAGAGTAAAAGCTCTCTCTGCCCATCGCAGAACTAAAGAAATGCTGGCCAGAGCGAGCTTTTATACTACTGCCTTTTGAATTAAAATAAATTTGGCCACCTCATTCTATGTGAACGGGAATAATGTGGAAAAAATTACTGGCACACACTGATGTAAAATAAAGCTTGTTAAAGCTCTGCACACGGACCTATGAAGTGGGTTGCCCCGAGGTAGACTATAAACTGAGGCTTGCCTGCATGCAGAGATTTTTAAAGCTTATAATATATTTTTTTATATGTGTGTACATGCTCTCTCTGCTCTTTGCTGCTATAGAATAGTAACGACTACAGAGCGAGCTTTTATACCATTCCCGTGTATACAAAATGGCCACATCGTAGACATGCTTGCAGCGCCCGTTTTAAGCTTCGTATACATACATTAT